CGCCGCCTTGTTGAGCGTCATGAACTGGCAGCTTGCGTACGCGTGGACTGGCAGCTGCGCCTTGCACCGCGACTGGATCACCTTGAGACCCGCCCAAAACGCAGCCACCACCACCGAGCGAACCGGGCCATCGTTACCGGGGCTGCCAGCGTCGCCAGCGGCGGTGCCGCTCTCATCGCTGCCGTCCAGCTCAGCCGGCAACTTGCCCGAGTCCCGAAGCTCGCCAGCGTGGCCAGCAACGGTGTCGCTCTCATCATCGCTGAAGCCCTGGCGCACCGCTCCTCCCGCAGCCCCGGGACCGTCCGAAGCGCGTGCTGCCCCTCGTGCCACACACGCGCCACATAGTCGCCCAACGCAAGCTGCTGCGCGTAGAACTCTGCCTTCTGCCGCTTCGACACCGCAGCCGCGCGCGCTTGCATCAACTCCGCGCCGCCCTGTGCGCCCAGCGCCGCCCGCCGCACCGCCGACGATCCAACGCCGAGAGTCGTTGCGTTCTGCGCCCTCAGCTGACTTTTACGGCGCTGAGCTTCTGCCACGGCGGCCGTTTCCTTGACCACGCGGGGATCGTCCGCCACTCGCGCGAGCATGTCCGCCGTCAAAACCGTCTTCCCCGCCCGCCTCGGTACCACTGCAACGAGCCCTCTCGTCTGCGCGGCGCTGATCCTCGCCGATTTGAGCCGCTGGTTCGCATTCCGGAAGTCCTTCTCGGCCACCTTCTCCGCGGAGGGGGCCTCCTCGCCGTCCTCGCCGCCCTCGCCAGCCTCCCCGTCGTCCATCACCTCCGACACCTCCGACAGCCCCAAATCGGAATCTGAGATGGCCCCGTCCGAGTCAGCACCTCGGTACAGTTCGCGGACTTCTGAAGATCGCTCCCGTAGCGCTCGCGCGCCGCCGCCCCCACCGCCGCCCCGGCTGCTTCCCCCACTACTGCCCCCGCTGCCATCCCCGCAGCCACCCTCGCTGCCGCCCTCGCCGCGGCCCCCGCCGCCGCCCCCGCCACCGCCCCCGCCGCCGCCCCCGCTGCTGCCCCCGCCGCCGCCCCCGCTGCCGCCCCCGCTGCCACCCCCACCGCTGTCCGTCCCCGCTGCTGCCCCCGCTGCTGCTTCCACTGCTGCCCCCGCTGCTGCCCCCGCCGCTGCCCCCGCCGCTGCCCCCGCCGCCGCCGCGTGCGCGCCCTGCGCCGCCTCCGCCACCTTCTTGTTCGCGGCCGCCTCCCTGCGCCGCGCCACGACCACCGCCTCACGCCGCGCCACCGTCTCGCGCTCCGGAGCGTCCGGCGGCAGCTCGGAGAACGTGAGCGCCGCGGCCGCGCCCGCCTCCGGCACTCGCTTCGCGCTCGGGCACGAGAGCGCGCACTGCAGCCGCATCGGGTTCTCCGCACCGCGCCACTCCTGCCCAAGATCGCGCAGCCGCAGGTCCTGCCGGTACACCCGGTCCATCGTGCGGCTGTCAATCTGCCTGTGAGCCAGCACGCGAGCCGCCAGGTGGATAGCGTCCGCGCTGCCGCCCCTCGCCTGGGTCTCGCACGCGTCCTTGCGCAGGCACCACGCGCCAAACACGCTCTTATCGAACCCCAGGCTCACGCCGATCTCGTTGAGACGCTTGCCCAGCGCCTCTCCGCCGAACGTCATGCGCGACCCGATCAGAAAGTTGCCGGTCGCCTTGTCGATCATCGGGAACATCGCGCGGTCGTCAGCCGCATCGTCGAGCACCCACCGCGAGTCGCAGCACGCCGCCACCAGATCGGCCCACGACTCGTACTTGGTGTCTGCCAGCTCCAGCCCAGCGAACCCCGCCTTGTCCTCCACCTTGCGCCGCAGCGCCACCACCTCCTCGCCCGAGAGCTTCGCGTACACCGCCTTTGGCGCCGCCGTCCGCAGCAGCAGCCGGCACAGCGCCACGGTGCCGAGCCGCACCATCTCATCCGAGTCGGGCGTCACCGACGTCCCGAACTGCACGTTTGAGAAGTACGACCCCTTCAGCCGCCGGAAGAAGAGCTCGAAGTAGAACCACGCCGTGCCACCGCCGTTTGGCAGGTTCAGCCCCCCGTCCTTGTCATCGAGCTTCCCGACGAGCAGGTCCTCCCAGCTGAGCGGCGCGCAGTTGGCCCACGCGCTGTTCGGATCAACCGAGTCCTTCTCCACGTTGACCGCCATCCCCGGGCGGGCACCCGTCTGCCGCGCGAAGCAGATGTACGCGTTGAGCACGAACGCCTCGTTCACCGAGATCGGCTCGCACAGCATCGCGTCCTGCAGCTGATACTGGCCAGTCTGGCCGAGATGCTCCCGCGTCGAGCTCGGCGCCGTCGCCGCCCTCATAGCTAGCTGCACGGCCTGGTTCGCCGCGTCGCCAGCCGCCGCCGCGGTGGTCGCGTTCGCGCCCACCGCCAACTGCGTCGCACTGGCCGCCGCCTGCGCCGCGACTGCAAGCTGCTCGACCCCGCCGCTCCCTCTCCCTCCTCCCACCAGGCTCGAGAACTGGTCGCGGATGGGTCGCCAGTACGCTGTCGCCTCCTGTCCTGTCGGGAAGCCCGCCGGGCCAAACACCATCGGCCAGACGTGGTTCTGCATGTTTTTGAACTGACCCCCCACCGTGTTCGACCCCCGCCCGATGCGCTCACACCCCTTCCGCCGCGACGCGTGCGACTGTTGGATGCGGCTCGTGAGCAGATACTGCAGGAACAGGATGCTGAGCTGCTGGCACGGGTACCCCTCCCGCATCCCGTTCGCCCAGCTGGAGCGCATCACCGCATCGCCGCCGTCTTCGTCAGACCGGTTCATCTCCCGCTCGAACTCGCGCCACCGCTTCAGCACGTCGTCGCATAGCCTGTTCATGTGGTAGCCGAGCGGCGCGAGCATCGGCGCCGCCCTCTCCGCCGCGATGGGTTGATGCAGCACCGCCGCCACGATGGCGCTCGGCCTCCGCATCAGCGCGCCTCCCAGCGACGCCGTGGTGTCCGCGGCCGCGAGCGGCCCCAGCAGCGCCGCCTGCGCCGCCGTCTGCTCCTCCGCCGCCCTCCGCCTCTTCTCCTTCGGCGCATCGGCCCACCCCTGGTGCTGCTCGGCGCGCCGCTCGCCCTTCTCGAGCCTCTCCCTCTTCGTGGGCGGACGGGCGTACGTGAACAGCTCGTCGGCGTCGCCCGCCGCCGCCCGCCTTTCCGCGGGCACGGTGCGCACCGCCTCCACCGTCCACGCCTCCCGCAACGCCGCGCCCCGGCCCTCGCCGAGCCGCTGGAATGGTCCGCCGCCGTCGGCGTTCGCCGCCGCCGCGGCCCAGGCCGCCGCGGTCAGCGCCGCGCCCTGACCGACAAACGCGCACAGCGGATCCGGCATCTGGCCCACCGCCTCCCTCGCCCCGTGGTGGCCAGACCCTCCTCCACCCCTTGTGCAATCGCGCTTGTTACGCCTGATCGCATCATGATTCATTATCTTACGTCCGTCCCGCCGCCCGCCGCGCGGCCAGACTCCACATCACATAATTGTAAACGAACATTGATGGGAAGGCGAAACACAGTCCGACCAACGACTGGGACACCAACGCGGTATGGGTGGACGCTAGACGGGCGATGACGGTCACACAGGAGCGACACACAGAACCACAAGACAAGACACTCGGCAACCTCACATCCAGAGGCTTGTCCTTCCAGAATTCTTGTTATGGAGTTGTTGTTGTTGGAGCCTCTTTGCGGGCGCCAGTGCATACTCGAGTCACGGTTATAGTTTTGCATATATGACGGCCATCGCCGCGCTCGATGTCGCCGCGCTCAAGGCGGAGTGCCGGCGCCGCCGCATCGACATCTCGTGCCTTCTGGAGAAGAGCGAGCTCCAGGCGGCGCTCCTCTCGGCGCGCTACTACGAGGACCCTGAGCAGGACGTCGCGTGCGCCGTCTGTGGCGAGTTTGACGACGAGGAGGGCAACGACCTGCTGCTGTGCGATGGGGCGGGCTGCCGCGCCGCGCACCACCTCCGCTGCCTCTCACCACCGCTGCTATCCGTGCCGGCCGGGTGCTGGCTCTGCCCGCGCTGCACGGAGAAGTCCGATCGGCCGGTGGATCGGATGCCACTGGGCGAGGTCAAGGCGGAGCTGCTGCGGCGCGGCGTGCGCACAGCGGGGCTGCTCGAGAAGCATGAGTTCTGCGATGCGCTCTGTGCCGCGCGGGCGGCGGCAGAGAGGCCGGGAGGCGGCGGCGGCGGCGGAGGACAGGAGGCTGTGGCAGCTGCCAAGGCGGCGGCACCGCCTCCCAAGGCAGCCAGGCCGGCTAGGCCGGCCAAGGCGACGGAGCGCTGCAGCGGCGGCGCTCCGCGACGGAAGGCTCGGGTGCGGCGCGTGGACGACGACCGCTCCAGCGGGGAGGAGGAGGGGGAGGGGCAGGGGCGCGCTGCGGCGCCCTTGAAGCGCCATCGGGCGGGCGCACGGGCTGAGCGAGCCGTGCCGAGCGGCGAAGCGGCGAGGAGAGGAGGAGAGGGGTCGGCGGCGGCGGCGGGGGGGAGGAGTGAACTTGGTGGGGCGGTCGCGCGGATTGTCAGGGAGAGCGATCTCGACCTGCTGACACCGCGACTCGTGCGGGCGGCGGTCGAGGAGCGGCTCGGCCTGCCGGCGGGCAGCCTCAAGGCGGAGAGGGAGCAGATCGCGCAGCACATCGACCGAGCACTGAGGGAGCTGCGCGGTGAGAGGGGCTGATGGCGAGCCGCCCGGCCGCTGCGCGCTGGAGGTTCTGGGAGCTGTGGCATGCGAGGTGAAATGCGAATAACATAACAACACGCGCCTCCCTCAAGTGTGCTCTGGTAGTGCTGACGGAGCGCAGAAAAAAAATGAGAGATCCTCTAGGTCGCACCCTCAACGAGACAGTGTGGAGGATGTCCGGGGGCTCTCGGCTCACGGTCACGCTGGCCGATCGCTCTGTGCCCGTGTGCGTGCGCGCCTCGAGCGAGCACGTGCGCAAGCATGCGCTCCTGCGTCCTGGCTCCTCGCCTCCTCCGCACCCCCCCCGCCCCCGCCCCTCACGCCTTGGCCATCACGTTGCGGAGCGTGAACTCCTGGCTCACGCTCGGCTCGAGCGGGAAGACGCCAACCTGTCCGCAGGCGGGAGGGGCAAGTGGAGGCGCGCGCGCTCGCAGGGCGCGGACCGGACGGCGGGCGCCCACCCTCCACCCCTCCAGCTCGACGGGCAGGTCCTGCCCGATCCTCCGCTTCCCAAGCGGCGAGAGCGCGCCCTTGTCGAGCGCGTCCGAAAAGTCGACGCGCGCCTTCCCGCCGATGCCCGCGTACGCCGAGCTCGCGCCGCCCGTCCCCCCGCCGAGCTCCTCGTACGCCTGTGAGCGATCGCGGACCCGTCACGGACGCGCCGCGGACGCGTCGCGCCGCCGCGCTGCCTCGCACGCCTGCTGCACGCGGATCATCCGCTCGTTTGCCGCCGCCGCCCCCTCCTCATCGCCGACGAAGCTACAGCCGTCGGGCCAACCGCGGGTGACCGCGCACTCTCGGCGAGGCCTCTCTCTCGGCGGGCGGCTGCGTCTCCCTCCGCCCTCGCCTCCCCCCCTCTTCCCTCCCTCCCTCTCCCCGCCCTTCCGCTCTCGCCCCTGCCCATCCCTTCTCTCGGCCCTCCTCGCACCGGTCGGGGTGCAGCTCCATCATCAGCTTGCGGTGCCGCCGCTTCACCTCCGCCGCGTCCGCCCCCGCGCCCACCCCCAGCGCCTCCAGCGCCTCCGCCCTGCGGTCGCCGCGCGAGAAGAGCCCCTCGTACACGTGCGAGTTGTACGAGTCGATTGGCTCGTACGCGTACTCTACCTGCTCACCGAGCGCGAGGGGTGAGGAGGCGCGGCCCCCACGCCGCACCGTCCTCTCTCGCGCGCGTCGCTCCACCGACGTGCGCGGCGCCTTGCGCAGCACCGTCACCGACTGGCAGCCCGCCTCGAGGATCTCCTTGCACGAGGCGCCAACCGCCTGACAGGAGAGGCCCGATGGAGAACAGGGCCGGGAGGGGAGGGAGGGGACCTCCTTGCCCACGGCGGACTGCGGACGGCACCGCATGGGCTCTCCTCTCTCCAAGTGCTGTCGCCGCCGCTGCTGCCGCCGGCGCGGCTGTCGCCGCCGCTGCTGCCGCCGGCGCTGCTGTCGCGGCGCTGCTGTCGCCGCCGCCGCTCCTCTCTCTCGGCTGGCGCTGGCGCTGAAGCCATCGCTGCCATTGTGGGTGCTGGCGCTGGTGCCGCAATTTGTGGTGGTGGTCCAGGAGGTGGTATAGGAGGCGGCGCTGGTGGCAGCGTGGGTGGCGGCGCCAAGCGGTGCAGAGTGCAAATGCGCCTGCGGCAGCAGCTGGCGCGTGTCGGCGCGGTTGCTCGACTTGAGGTTCATGATGCAGACGGGGACCCAGTCCGAGAAGGCATCCGCCGCCTCGCTCGCACAGTCGGCCGTCAGCCGTACCGTCACCACATACTCTGTCACGGAATAGTCGTCGGCCGGGTCCACGGGTGTGTCGTCGGCGTCGTCGTCGTCATCGCTCACCGTGGCGCGGAGATCCTTCTTGATCTCGTCGTAGAGCTCCATCGACTTCTTGAGTAGCTCGGCCGGCGTCGGAGCCGGCGCCGCCACACCCGCAGCCTTTTGTCCAAAGCCGCCGCCGCCGCCGCCGCCCGCCGCGGGACTTTTCTTGCCGCCTTTTCGCTTGGCTTTGGCCGCGAGCGCCGTCACCGGTGCATGGCGGGTGTGCGGGCTGGGCGCGTGGTGCGGCGCAAGCAGGGTGGGAGCCCAGGATAGCGCCGCGGAGGCTACGACAGCCGCCAGCATCGTGGCCGGGCCAGATCTGCGAAGGGTCAGAGAAATTCTTTCCGCGAGGGCCGAGGAGAGCGATGAGTGGTAGGTAGAGGATAACGGATGAAACAGCAGGAGAGAGAACGAGGACGAGAGTGGGAAGAACGTGAGCAGGTCGCTGCGAGAATTGGTGAGAAACTGCGAGGAGAGATAGGAAGTGGTAGACGCCCGAGGGTGGGCGACGGCTAGCACCACACTTCTCCCCTTGAAATCCCTGTGTGGTGGCGGCGTGCCGTCCTCCCATCCCTCCTTTGGAATCAGCCGCGCGCGGAGGCGTCCAAGCCCCGGGGACCGTGCTGGGGTCTTGCTTGAAGACGTTGCGTCCGTAGAGGGGAGTGGCTCCTTCCAATAACATGACCGTGGCAGGGGCGCGGTTAGGGTCCTCACCAACCGAAAGTGCTGAGTACTGGGAGAAGATCGGGCAGCGAGACAGGTCGTGCGCCTCGTGCACCTCCGAGATAGGTCCTCCGGGGCGGCTCACACGTTCTCGTACACCGCGCGCAGAGCCACGATCCACATCGATACGCCTCGCCTAAAATATTTTTTGTAACACTTATGAGGCACTTGTTTTGCATGTTTTGCTCTCGTGCAACCCACGCTGGTAGTGTCGCTCCGCCGTTCGATTTCGGGCGAGTGGCTGCCAGTTCGAGCCGCCTCTGGCTGCTCAACGCGCGTGTGTCCGAGTGGTCTAAGGAGCGCGACTCAAGTTCGCGTAGCGAAAGCTGCATGGGTTCGAACCCCATCGCGCGCATTTTTTCCCCCGACGCAAGCTCACCATTGTCTTCGCCATTGTCTCCCTTTTCACACAAAAACACAACCTCAGATCCTCAGTCCCAACTCCCCAGCTGTGTAAATCAAGGATAACAGACAACACAATAGTCAGACATGGGCTGGGTTCACCCACACTCCAGGGTTCCGGTAGGAGCATGAAGGCGAATTCTCTTCCTGTGGGTGCCTATACCGACCTCGCACACCTAGGAATTCTAGCTGACCGCGACGTGCACGACAATGGTGGCAGCCGCCATCATACTCTCAAAGCTCGCGGTCGCATACACATTCCTCCCGTACGGCGGTGGACCGCCGCCAAAGAGAGGCGAGGCCGATGGCTCTCGCGAAGCGCAGCTGCAAGCGCTGGGGGTGGCTGTGGACGCCGGGCCCTTTCGCTCTCGGCGCGAGGCGACCCACCTCCTGCGGCGATGGCTGGAGCAATACTGGGAGTGCAAGAAGCTCGACAGTGGCGACAACTCGTGCTTCGAGTTTGGTGGCTGCCATCGGCGTTGCTGGTGGCGAGGCGCGACCCCAGAGCTCGTCTTCCAGCTGGAAGAGCTGGGTGCGGCGGCGGCGCCTCCGGACGACCAGCCGTTGGCCTACTTGCGCGCTCGAGCTGCGGCGGATTGCTTGCGAGCAGCACGCCTGCACCACCGCGAGGTCCTGCGACTGCGCGGCATCGTCGTCTCTCTCGATGCGTCGCATCACTACTGCGCGCTGCGGCCGGCGGCGCCAGAGGGCGCCGCTCCACGCGTGCACAGTCTCGGCGTGCGAGCGAGCGCCGTGAGGCTGCGACAGCAGCAGCTGCCGGAGCGGCGGGCCGCCGGGCGGGCGACGCCACGCGCCAGCACGCGAGCGAGCCTCGCGCCGGTGCCGCTCGCGCCCTTTCGCCTCGACGCGCCGGGCCGCGGACCGTGCGCGCCGCCCGGCACGCGGCAGGTGGCATTGTACCCGCTGCCCGCCGTCTATCTGCCCGGCTCGCAGTGCGTGGTGCGCAACATCGAGGCGCGGAACATCGCCATGTGCAGGGAGCGCGCCGAGTTTGTCGCCGCTCGCGTCTCCGCCGACCGGGCGAGCTGCGCAAGCGTGGGCGCGCTGCTGAGGATTGACGACGTGCGACCCGCGCCGCGCGACTACTCAGGCCGCGTGCTCGCCGAAGGCGCGTCGGAAAACGAGCGAGGGGTGCTCGAGGTCCGGTGTTCCGTGGTCGGGCGCGTGCGAGTTGTCGCGTGCGCAAACCTCGAGGCGTGGCGAAAGCCGCAGCGGGACGAGTACCTGGTGGCGGACGTCGCGCCGTACGAGGACGACGGCGAGGGCGAGGCGAAGGCGGCGGCGGTAGAGGCGGCGGCGGCGGCGGCGGCATTAGAGGCGGCGGCTGTGGAGGCGGCGGCAGGCGCCGCAGAGCAGGAGGTTTGGTGGATGGGCGCGGCGGCCGCGAGTGACGTTGCGGACGCCATCTACCAGCTGATCGATGCTCTGCTGGCGACCGACGGCTTGAGCGGCGCGGCGGGCGCGAAAGACATTGACGCGTTGGTCGGCTCGCTCGAGCGTGCGGCGGCGCTGGCCGAGGAGGCCGACTGGTGGGGCGCGCTCGAGCTGTGGCAGGCGCACTGCGCCACGCGGCAGGCCGGCGCGGCGGCGGCACACCGCGCCGAGCGCGACGAGCTGCTCATCGACGCAAAGTTGCGCCAGGGCGGCGCTCTCCAGATCCCGGTGCGCGAGGAGACGCTCGAGCAGGCCGACCGGGCCAGGCTCGCTGACCTGGACGCGCGCGCGGCGGACGCCATCGCTCAGACGGGCGTCGACGACGCTTCCGCCTTTCAGGCGTGCCTCGAGGCGCGCACCCCGGCGGAGCGCGCCGCCATCCTCCTGCACGGCGTCCAGAGGGAGGCCGAGCGATTGGCGCGGAGGGCGGCGCTCGAGCGCGCGCTGGGCGCGTAGTGGTGACACGAGTTTTGCGATTTCTAACTACTAACGCCCCCCTCGACGCCGCTCCCCTCGCCGCCGGTGGCGACCGCGCTGCCGATGTCGGTCGCGCTGGCCGGCAGCGCGTCCGCAGCCTCGTCGCTGCCCTCGCCGTCGCTGTCCTCGCCGCTGGTGGGGGCCGCGCCGCCGGCGCCGAGCGTCACCCGCCTCCACGTCTCTTCCTCTAAGTTGAGCCAGAAATCCTGGTCGGGGTAGCCGTCGTACTCGACCGCGTGCACGAGCCGGCCGTCCAAACCCTCCTCCCGCCCCGTGATGGTGCCCGGCCACCACCTCTGCTCGCCCAGGATCTCCACGTGTGTGCCTGTCTCGACGACAGCGTGCCCGGCGATCCTCGCCGCCGCGTCCACGCGCAGCCGCTTGCGCCGCGCCGTCTTAGACTCCGCGGGCTGCGGCAGCACGTAGTTCGGGCCGTACTCCGCCACGCCCGCGAGGACCTCGGCCGCGCTCACCGTCTCGACCGCAGCCTCGACCGGCGGAGGGGGGAGCTCGACCCGTCGTTCGACCCGACGTTCCGTGACCTCCCGCGCCAGCCGCTCGCCAGCCGCTCCCTGATGCGCCGCCCGTCGGTCGACGCCCTCGCCCCTGCGCTCCACCAACAACGCCGTCGCTGTCCTCGCCGACGTGACCGTGATCCGAGGCCGCCCATCCGCCACAATGCCGTCCAACACCACAGTCGTTCCCCCCTCCAACACCAAAGTCGTTCCCCCCCATCCCCCGGACACGTCCCTCCCTGTCCTCTCGACTGCTTCCCTCTTTTACATACATAAATCTCTGTACAAAGGGCTCGAATCGCGAGGCGCAGGCGTGGGCCGCCGTGGGCGGACATTTTCACATTTCAGTGTACGTACTTTTAGCTTGTACTGGGAGAAAAGGGAGGGCGGGTTGTGTTCTCTAGGCCCCTAAGCCCTATGTGCTCTTACGTACATTCCCCCGGAGGAGGAGGCTGCTGACGGGGTTTGCGCGATGAGAAGCATTATTCAACAGATCTCGGCGACGAGAGTGGGCGGGCAGTCCCCGTGGCTGCAGTCGCGCTTCCGAGCCGACTCCGCCCCTCTCCACCCGGCCATTCCAACGGCCAGGCCGCTCGCTTAAGGCTGGTTGGCTAGACGAGCGGCCTACCTCCAACGGGGCAGTCTGGCAACGCGTGGATCCGGCCCGCCTCGGCGGGTTACGGTTTAGCGCGACGACCGGGGGAGCTGGACGGAGCTCTGATCGCCGTACTCACCGGGACGCTGCCTGGTGAGGTGACGGTGGGAGGGCACCCCCCCAGACAGCCCCTCCCGACGGGGACGCCATCACCCTCGCCCAGGGATCTACAATGCTGTCTTAAGGTCCGACAGGTTCGGCACCGGGCACCGCCTCGGTATACAAAATGCGCCTGCGGGCGGACCCTCACAGATCACAGATCACAGATCTCGACAACACCGATTCACCGCGCCCCTCTCAGCTCTCTGGCAGAGCGGCTCTACCTCTGGGTAGAGCTGTTCCTCATTCAGACACATGCTGTTCCTCAGCGCACAGCATGGCACGTACACAGAGGTTATACACAGCTCCGAGGGGCGATCAAGGATCATGGCTTCAGTACGGGCCCTGAGCTGCTTCGCGTCCTGTCTAAGAGCGGCGTCGCATCCTCGTTCTCCCTTTCCTATGGCGGCGACGCGCCTTCCCTCGTTGACGACGCCTCCTCAGACGCAGCCACAACATGCTCGCCCATGATCCACCATCGTCCTCTATCCTCTGGCAGCATGTTGATATCGTTTTCGCACGGCACAAAGCCATGTTCTCCCACCAGAACCGACGTCAGCACGATGCGGTCCTCCCTCCCTGACAGCGTGTGCCCTCCCCCACGATGCCAATAGTCAAGACGATAGAGCGTCACTGACCCTTCAGGCAACGGCAGCTTCACATTCGGCCCACTGGCATCCGCGGGCAACACCTCCAGAGCGCCCTGCGCGGCTTCCGTGTCCGTGAGTGAGATCTGCACCGCAGCGACCCGCTTGTCAGCAAAGAACGTGTCAACGTGCCAATCCTGCGCGACACTACCCGCCCGTGTGCGCAGCACAGCGAGCTCCCCCACCAGCTGTCGCGAGCTCTGCAGCGCGTCTGCCAAGAATGGTGAAAGCACCTGCGCAACAGACTGCAATACTCCGTGGGACTCATCGACCGCCAGGTAAACCCACTGACGAAGCGAGCCCTTGTCGCCAGCTGCTCGGTATCCAGCAGCGTAGTTGCGCCTCGAGCCATCGAGCAGCGCGGCACGCGCACGGTCACGCAAGGCGCGCACCATCGAGGCGTTTAGCATAGAAGGAAAGGCCACGACTCCCTGCCCTTGCCACAACTCGACGGCATGTTGCACCCAACCCGGAGACGAAGTATCGACACTCAGCTTGTCCGCGCCCCACTTCGCCAATCGCGCCACCGTTTGCGCAGCATCTTGCCTCCTTGCTCCGGGGCTGGCGATTGCGTCGCTCTCTTCTAGTCGCACCAGGCGCGAGCGGGCATCCTCACACGCGGACGGGAGCCGGAGAGCGGCGGCGTAAGCCTCGCGCGCTGCGGCCGTCATACCTTGCACTTGGAGACCATCGCCCGCCTGCACGTGATATCGGCAATCCCTGATTGCACCATGCTGCTCGAGCAGGTCCAACATGCGCGGCTGACCGGCGTACGCTGCCAAATGCATCGCAACCTGTCCATTGAGCGGATGGACCTCGACCACCGACGCACGTGCTTCGTCACGGCTATTCAGCAGCACGCGCACCAGCTCGAGAGATCGAGCGGCATCCTCGGGCCCCACCGACGAGCGATAGAGAGCCAGGTCCAGCGGCGACAGGGAAGAGTCCGCGGTGCGGGAGAATGTGGCGCCAGCTGTCAGCAGCACACGGGATACCTGCACCCATCCGTACGAAGCCGCAAAGTGCAACGCGGTCCGCCCTACTGGGTCCTTCGCGTCCACCGATGCGCCGCCGTCCAGCAGCGCGCGAACCACCTGCGCCTGGCCGTTGTAAGCCGCAAAGTGCAACGCGGCCCGCCCTTCATGGTTCTTCGCGTCCACCGATGCGCCGCCATCCAGCAGCGCGCGAACCACCTCCGCGTGGCCGTTGTAAGAAGCGACGAGCAGCGCGGTCCGCCCGTCATGGTTCGTTGCTTCCACGGAGGCGCCGCCAGCCAGCAGCACGCGAACCACTTCCGCGTGGCCGCCGGCAGCAGCGACGAGCAGCGCGGTCCATCCTGTGTGCTCCTTCGCGTCAACCAACGCGCCGCCATCCAGCAGCGTTCCCGCCACCTGCGCGTGTCCGTTGAGTGCCGCGACGTGCAGGGCCGTGAGGCCGCGTGCGTCGCGTGCATCTGTCGGCGCGCGTGCCGCTTCTGTCGCGTCCATCACCGCGCCGCCTGCCGGGAGCACTTCCACGCGCTCGTGCATGGGAGCATCGAATGCGCCTGACCAGCAATGCTGGCTTCCCGGGCACGCACCGCATTCGTCGCGGTAGCCCAGAGCGTAATCGCACGAGTTCTGACAGAACGCTTCGCAGCGAGCTGGGAAGTCAACACGCGCCACCACGAGGGACAGCGGCAGCAGCCTCGCCGCCGACATTTGCGTAAAACATCGCGCCTTGTTTGGTAAAACATTTTCGTTGTGGTACTCTCTGAGAAAATGGGAGAGGGAGGCGCGCTTTCTAGGCCCTTAGGGGGCCTACCACTCAGCGCAGTCGGAGTGAACGCCGCCGCCCCGTGAACGAATCTTCGGAGGGAGGATGGGGGGGCAGTCATCATTCATCAATCATAAATCACTCGCTCGCTGCCGCGCTCACTGTTGAGGCACGCCGCCACCACACACGTTGCACAAGGGATTTTACGGAAAGGAGTGCGTGAGAGCATTCAATAGCCGCAACGGGCGAGACTTTGGGCTTGTGAGGAATATGGACGCCCCGGGAGTGAATTCGCCCGGGCAGCGATGCAGCTCTTTCACCGAACCAACATGCAACAACACGTACTACTGTGCGACAGATTCTTGGACAGATTCTCACGCCGTCACGGGCACACAGACAAAAGAATGTTAACATTGAGAATGATCTCATACATTCTTTTTCCTTCGCGGCAACGCGATGGCGGCAAGGCCTCTTGCGTGCCCGCCCTCGTCACGCAGAAGACCAACGGGCGTCGGACCGCGGTGAGACCGCGCCGCCCTCCGCGCCCGCCCGCGCCCGCAGCGTGAACACATACGCGCGTCCCTCATCGCACGGAAACATACGCGCCAGCCGCGCACACAGCCTCACATGCAGCGCCGACCGCATGCTCGCGCCCTGGGCCGCCGACGACCCGGTCGGGCGGGCTGCGCGGCCGCCGCACACCATCAGGCAGGCGCACAACCACCCGCAGCGCGCCGCAGCCCACCGCGCAGCCCTGCCAGCCAGGCTTGCGCCTCCCAGCTGCACAAACAGGCGCACAGCAGAGTACAGCACACAGCACACACCGGCGGCGCGCGCGCAGCACACGCAGACGCACGCGCGACCGCAACACGCACACGTACACAGCACGCGCGCGTCGCACGCCAGCGCAGCGCCACACACAGAGCACACCTCCCATCAGCAGCAGCAGGCCTGCCACAATCCACATCTCACACACACGCGCACACACTCCCCCCTACCGGCGCACGCATTGGGCGTCGCCGAGAGCTCCCAAAGCTGACTTGTGTGGCTGCTTGTGATGCCTGCTCATGAGCAGGCAGCACAAGCAGCCACACAACCCAAAAGCTCACTTGTGTGGCTGCTTGTGCTGCCTGCGCAGGAAGAGGCATCAGACGCAGCACCTCCCGTTAGCTTTGGCAGCTCACGGTGACGCCCAATGCGTGCGCCGGTAGGCGGGAGTGTGTGCGCGCGTGTGTGAGATGTGGATTGTGGCAGGCCTGCTGCTGCTGATGGGAGGTGTGCTCTGTGTGTGGCGCTGCGCTGGCGTGCGACGCGCGCGTGCTGTGTACGTGTGCGTGTTGCTGTCGCGCGTGCGTCTGCGTGTGCTGCGCGCGCGCCGCCGGTGTGCGCTGTGTGCTGTACTCTGTTGTGCGCCCTGTTTGTGCAGCTGGGAGGCGCAGGCTTGGCTGGCAGGGCTGCGCGGTGGGCTGCGGCGCGCTGCGGGTGGTTGTGCGCCTGCCTGATGGTGTGCGGCGGCCGCGCAGCCCGCCCGACCGGGTCGTCGGCGGCCCAGGGCGCGAGCATGCGGTCGGCGCTGCATGTGAGGCTGTGTGCGCGGCTGGCGCGTATGTTTCCGTGCGATGAGGGACGCGCGTATGTGTTCACGCTGCGGGCGCGGGCGGGTCCCATCCT